GCTATTTTGTTCTGAAGATTGTGAATGTGAATCGTTTTCATCCTATCGATTTCAACGAACATTTTTCAGTTATTTTGAGAAAGAACCCTCAGATTGTTTGTAAGTGTTCGACATTTCGATTTATTTGAGCTTTGTATACATTCATTTTGCTTTATTTTGCTTCGCGTTTACAAGTTTCGATTGAGTAATTCTACTTTCAGAAACATATTTGTATGCCGTTTATTTGATGAACCTGGGTTAAAAGACTAAAATTAACCGATCGATTCAGCGGCTACAAGCTATACCTTCACTTGGCAGATGGTTTACGAAATAGAATTTGCGTCTGTGATAAGGGGAAATCATGTTTGTAAAACAGAGTGGTCACCAAAGCTTGGAGAAAGGCTAGTGTGTCGGAAAGATGAAAGAAAGGAGGCTGAAGAGCATGATGAATATGTTGTTGGAACATTCATTCAAGAGAGTAGCAAGCTGGTTGGACATGTACCCATTGAACTTTGCTTCCTCGTGTTTACATTTCCACGAGCTCATGAGGATAATCAGGTGGTAGTTGAAGTCACTGGAAGCAGCAAACTTGAAAATGGCCTCGTAATTCCAGGAACTTTTGAGGCAGTAACAAGAAGCCGACGATTGGGAGCAAATTTTTACGAGGAACTTAATAAAGTGAAGCAGCTATGTGCTCACATGGATATTTCTATCAAGGAAATGAGGAGCAAACCCGTGCGATTTTCAAAGGACATTACTTTTTATACCATTTAACAATATCACATTTCATTAAAAGAACCGTATAGACTCGTATATCGTACCGAGTACCGAACCTCATTTTTTCTCGGGGGATGGGGGGGCCTTATTTGAAGGTAGGCGCTTATTACAAATTTTGAACCTTAGGAGGGGCGCTAATTCGAAGCGAGGCGCTTATTTGAGGCTGGGCGCTAATTCGAGAATTTACGGTACCCCGAAATCGGTGTACGGGTAACGGGTAGCGCCATGTTTTTTTTTCCTTTTGCGATGACGTCATCGTTCTTACCCGGTAGACCCAGTCGTTTTCCTGGGGTAGACACCAGTTTTCGCGTAGAAGAATAACGAGTAAGAGAGTACGAGAAGGATGAGCTACATGATGGAGAAACAAGTGAGTTTTTAAAACGTTTTGAATTGTTTGACTCCTTGGCAATGTTATTGCAAGTCTGTTGAAATATTTTTGCCCAAATTTAAATTTTTGCGGTAAAGAAAGCGCATCAAACTGGATTGACTTTGGATCTCAAATGCGACGGTTGAGCTCTGAAACGATACCAATTTGTCGCGGTAATTTGGGGCATTTCTGAGAATTGCTCCGACGGTTGTCTCTCAAAAGCACTAGCATTGAAAAATATGGCATGGGAGTCAAGGCTGAAGTTAACAATCAAAGAAATTGTTTGGTGATGTGCCTCGATCAAATTGCGGGGTTTGCGATAACAGACGGTGTCGTGTGCTCGCGCTTTCGGATGAATTGAATTGTTTGACTCCTTGGCAATGTTATTCCAAGCCACCAGCCACAGTTCCATTTGGACACTCGTACACAGCAGGTATTGAAAGAGCATCGTGCAGTACTCTAGGATTGTTTTTGTTAAACCCGTGTCGAAAAGTTGTAAGGTTTGGAGAGTTCGAATACCTACTTTTGTCATCGCGACTATAATTTCATCATCATCATCATCATCATCATCATCTTTATTTGTTCAAGCAGGTTGAATTTATTGGCAACTGTATAAGATGATGTGGACCTGCTGTTTTCCCAGCCAACCCACCCCAGGGGAGGACATCCAGCACACAGTAATCTCGTGCGTGGGAAATTAACGTCTTTTACCCCTTACCCTTTAAGAGACAGGACCACCGGCTTTACGTCCTATCCGAGAAGACGAAACAATGTGAGTGAAGTGTCTTGCTTAAGGACACAACGTTAAGCCCCAGCCAGGACTTGAACCCGGGCCGTTTGACCTAGAGTCCAGCGCACTGACCACTGGACTACTCACGCC